GATGCCATCCTCAGCTCCATGGTAGCTTTGGCCTTTCTAACTGCCTCCCTACAACTGCGAGCTGAGGAGTCATACTCCTCTTCAGTAACCTCTCCTCGTTTCTACTGCTTATATGCCCCCCTTTTTGCCCTTAGGCTGCTCTGGATTTCTCTGGTCAGCCAAGGAAACCTCTTGACCCCTTTTCCCCCGCATCGGGATCGTCTCCCTCTGTGCCTGAAGGATCGCTTCCTTAAGGCACAGCCACCCTTCCTGGGCTCCCATCTCGCCAAATCTCTTACTCTGCAGTGCATCATTGACTAAATGCCTGAGCTCACTCAGGTGAGCCTTCCTAAAGTCTAGCACTTCCTCCCTACTAGTTACCTTCCCACTCTACGCCTTATGGTGAATTCTATTATTTGATGGTCACTGCCCCCCAGGTGACCACTGATCTGTAGGTTCCCTACCATGTCATCCCCCGTTCCCCATACCAGGTCCAGTAAGGCATTCCCCCTAGTGGGACCATGTGCCTCCTGCATCAGGTGGAGGTCCTGTACACAGGATAGGAACCTGCGTGAATGGTGGGAATTTGCTGTCTGCGTCTCCCAGCAGATGCCAGGGTAGTTTAGGTCCCCCGTGACTACCGCTTCCCTAGTCTTTATGGTCTCCAAGAGCTGCATCAGGAGTTCCAAATCTAGTTCTTCCCCTTGGTGTGGGGGTCTGTAGCAGACCCCTACCACCAAATCCCTTTCCCCTTGACCACCATGTGTCCTAACCCACAATCCTACTTTCTCCTTCTCCAATTCCGTTTTGATAAGGGTTGATGTATAACGCTCCTTGACATAGAGCGCAACCCCTCCCCCTGTCCTCCCCACTCTATCCTTTCTGTACAGTTTATAGCCTTCAATGTGTACCACCCAGTTGTGGGTAGAGTCCCACCAGGTTTCTGTTAACCCCACTAAGTTGTAAGTGTTTTCTTCAAGCAGGAGTGCTAGTTCATCCTGCTTGTTCCCCATGCTCCTAACATTAGTGTATAGGCACTTGAGCCCTGTGACTGGCGCCTTTGTTGCCCCCTGGCTTTGATGCCCAATGGGCCCCCTATAGCTTACCTGCTTATTGCTTACCTGTGCTGTACTGCTGGACGTCCCATGGGTTGCAGGTTCCTGATGTTCTCCTTCTGCCTCCCCGTCCTCTGTCTGAGCTAGTGTGAAGCCCGACATAGGAGATCAGCCAACCTGTTGGAGAAAAGACTTTTACTTTTCACTGAGAGGTGAAGTCCATTGCGCCTCAGGAAGTCCCATATGAAAATGACCAGTCCTAAGTTGTAGGTCTGAAAGGAGTAGCACTCACCAGATTCTGGACAGAACCTAATATAGATTAAGTTCATGTTTGAATTGAAGCTAATGTGAAATTTATGATTTACATGTGAAATCAAGGTAAAGCAATAAACTCCAGAGCTGTTTGAGTGAGAGTAAACTGCTTTCAGGTGGAGCATCTACATGTGTGCCTGGGACAGCAGCAATTTGAGTTGGGGCAGAGCAGGCCCGGGCTGGCATGGGTGGGGTCAGCTGCAGGCTGTGGGTGGCAGCGTTGGGGTTGGCTGGGACATGAGGGTGCAAAACCTGTGGCGCTGTTGTCTAGGCAGCCACCAGGAGTCTGGCCCCTGCCCAGTCACCATTTACATATGCATTTCAGTGCAGTTAATTACTCTGCTGTAAGATATTTCTTACGGTGGATTTAATTTGTTTACTGTGCACTAATACCGGGGCACTTGTAGACAGTGATGCTTTACTGTGGAGTTAGTTGGTCAGCTCTGCAGTAAAGTGCATGTGTAGATGCACCCCCTGGTATTACTATAGTTTTTGTCAGTAGGTCTGTTTATAAAAATAATACCAAATTAAGATTTTTCCTTGTATGGGATCTAATTATTGGGGTGCTCCTTTTTAAATTCAGAGTTGTCTTTAGATTTGAGTAAAATACAGTATGTCTATATTTTCTATTTAAAGTAGACTATGCAGTCTAAAGAATGCATGCTATGAAAGGCCACCAGAAAATGCATTTCATATTAAGAAAGCTTAATTATGTCCATCTTGCCTAGAGAAAATAAGGAAAATGTCCATCTTGCCTAGAGAAAATAAAGAAAGAGTGAAAGTAGAATATTATAACAAAGGAAAAATAATTTTGTTTTATATAATCAAACATGGGGGCGGGGGTGGAATCTGTTAACTCAGCAATAGGATCTAAATAAGTAGAAGTGATAATTTAGAGTGGATTGTTCTATTAAGTTGCAGAGCTGGATGTAAACACTGTTCTGTGTGTTTAACTATTCAGTTTTCTTTTCTCTACATTTGGAAAGCATTTTGACACTGAAACTCAAGACTTGGCTGGCATTGAATGGGCTCCAAATGGATGTGTTCTGGCCGTGTGGGATACCTGTCTGGAGGTATGAGAGACAGTTTGTTTCTAAAGATTGTAAATGCTTAAAGATGACACTTCCTAGTTGCTTTTACAACATAAAGCAGTATATTGTCAAAAAGAATAACAGCATAAGAGCATATTTTTTTAGCAAAAGCAATCATGCAGTTAAGTGGGTGGTGGTCTTACACATGTATATCAAACAGTTCCTGCATTTGCCATCAGAGGACACTTACTAAATTATCCATCTTATTCTTTCTAATATATGTATCATATTAAAAATGTAACTTTTAGTTTGTTTTGAAAAATGGCAGAACAGCTACCCAGATCTTTAACAGAAGAGTTTTCACTAAGGGATTGTTTACCTGGTAAATTAAGTTTGAGTAAATGAGGATGTGAATCTATAGCACACTTGAAATGCCTCTGAGCAGTAAAGCTAGTGTGTGCTGAGTGACCCTGCAGTTAGTATGGAGTAATTGGTGTTCTTTAAAATTACACCCTAGTTTGCTTTGTAATAACTTACCTTTGTAGAGAAAAAGACAACTCTTCCTTTAACATATGTGGATTTTAGGTGAGGATAACCTGACAAAAGGCTATTCAGTTTGTATCAGTAAATTTGTGGCCTGTTCATTTTTTTTAAACAATATCGCTAGTCTTTAGAGCTAATGAATTTGTGTTCCAGTATAAAATTTTGCTGTACTCCCTTGATGGCCGACTGCTATCCACATATCGTGCATATGAATGGTCACTGGGTATTAAATCAATTGCCTGGAGCCCCAGCAGTCAGTTTTTGGCGATTGGCAGCTATGATGAAAAGGTAAAACAAAACAAAAATTTGAAGTCAAGACTCAAAATTGTCATCATAGCAATCCCATCTTACAACACTGTCTTTGAATCAGGTACGCATATTGAACCATGTGACGTGGAAGAAGATCACAGAGTTTGAGCATCCTCCAATCATTGCTAACCCAAAGATTGTAAGTACAGAATCAGGGCCTATTTGGATCATTATCTGTTGGTGAGAGAGAGTAGTAAAAATATTTTAATTTGAAGTCCTGATTTCCTCCTGGCCTGCAAATGTTGGTAAAGGAATTAAATCAAAATGTTGAAGTAAGGATAATTTATGTCAGCTAAAAATGATTAATCTGATTGAATGCACCCACGGTCTCTTATTCTGTCTAGGTATATGGTGTGGTTGATTCCTGGAGACTACTGACACATGCTAATGTCTTCTGCTAGGAATGGTGACTGTTAGACTGAGTATTCATGTGGTGTTGTGAACATGAAAGCGTACTCTCTATGACGTAAACAGATTTATGTTATGACTAGGCGTTTAGGTAAGGGTTCAGTTGAAATATTTGTAATCTGACCAGTCTTCATCTTTACAAGCATGTTAAACTCAATGAGCATTTTCTTTCAGTTTATTTTTATCCTTGAGTCTGATAAGTGTGTGAGACCACAGAGTGCTTCATAGTTGTCAGGAAGCAGAGAACATTTTAACCCCAATCATGATAGTCTCTCTCAGATGAAGTAAAAGAGGATCTCCAATGGTTGTAATTGTATTATACAGCTGATAGAAGGAACTTAAGCAAATCTTATTTATTAGTATGTTATGTAAGGATTAGTATTCATGATGTATAATTTTTTTAAGTCAGCATAAATATACTGTTGCTGCTTACCAAAAGACCTGAACTACAGAATGTTTGGTTTAAATTTACTTTGTTAGGAAATTGTTTTAGTTTCTTGGTATATAACTTCATTGTGATTTTTTGGGGGGGATTGTCTTTTTTCCTTCTCCTTCTATGTCATCTTTTCAAAATAAGTTATAAGCAGGGATCTGGGTTTTCTGTTTGCTACGGAAAAATGCAGATTTTATCCTTTGAAAGAGAAAAATATAGGAAACCATGGGTTTCCCCTTGTAGGTTGGGAGAGTTCTAGCCTGCAAGGGGCTGCTTGGGGCTGGTGGGGAGTGGGAGAAGAGCGATCACAGGCAAGGACCTGGCACAGCTCAGCGAGACTAATTGCTGCTGCCATCGCCAGGACTTCTATGCCATCCATGCTGCCAGCAACATGAGGAGTAACAGACTGGTGGGGGGGAAGGGGGAGGTTGTGCTGCCCTCACCTTCTCTCACTGCCAGCTGTGTGCACACTGGGCTGCAGCTCTACCCTGTGCCATGCCCCACCTGCCACTGCTCCCCTCAGGCTACTCCTTGGCTGTACCCTGGAGGGAAGGTGGGGTTGGGGGGCAGCATGGTTGACCTGAGGGGAACAGTGACAGCAGGGCCATGGAGGCAGGGTAGAGCCGTAGCCTGGCATGCAAGCAGGTGGCAGCAGGAGGAGGTTAAGGGCAGCACGGCCCACCCCTCCAGTCTGTTACTCCTCGTGCTGCTGGTAGCGCAGCTGACTTGGAGGTCCTGGCAGCAGTAGTGGCAGCAGCAATGAGTCTTGCTGCCCTGCTCTGCCTTCCTGCTCTGGGTCCTGCCCACTGGACTGCGAAGGCAGCTCCTGCCTGTGTCGGTCTGGTCAGGCTGTAGCCTTATGTCCTGCTGTAGGCACACACATCTGCGGGGGAGATGCATGCTCCCCCCGGTCTCTCTGATGTATCGCCTATGGTGTCTTCATAGACATTAGGCCTGGAAGGGACCTCGCAAGATCATTGGGTCCTGCCCAAGGGGAAGGGAATCAGTTGGGGTCAGATCACCCCAGCAAGATAAACATCCAAGCATTTCTTAAAGGTATCCAGAGTAGGATCACCACTTCTGGGGGTAGTCTGTTCCAGACTGGACACTTGGATGGTAAAGAAGTTTTTTCTTATGTCCAGTTTAAGATGGTCTTCCACCAGTTTGTGACTGTTAGACCTTGTCTTCTCTTGGGGTGCCCTGGTGATCAGATGTTCTCCCCTTATACACTGCCACCAAGTCACCCTTGAGTCTTCACTTGTCCAGGCCGAAGAGTCTCATTCCTCTCGGCCTCTCCTCGTAAGGCCTGTTCTCTTGACTTTTAATCATGCACATGGCTCTCCTCTGGACTCTCCCAAGCTTCTCCACGTCCTTTCTAAAGTGTGGAGCCCAGAATTGGATGCATTATGCCAGCTGCAGCCTCACCAAGCAGGAGGACAACTTCTTGGGTCTTGTTTGAGATACATCAGTAGATGCAAGCCAGAGTTTTATCTGCTTTGCCAGCTGTGGCATCACATTGGTGACTTATGTCGACCCGAGTTTGGGAATCGTTGCTCTAGGGTGACCGCACTTCACCACAATTTGGTGTAGTCTGCGAATTTAGCCAGTTTGCTTCTGACACCTGAATCCAGATCCTTTATGAATATATTAAAGAGTACTGGTCTGAGTACTGAACCCTGGGGGGTGCTACTGGTCCCCATGAGTCATGTTAACTGTTCCATAGACTATCACTCTCTGGGTCTGAAATCACTCTCTGCATCACCTACAGTCAGACACCCTCCCTGGCTCTGCCCCACACGCACAGTTGGGTGAGGTGTTGTGGGTCAGGAATGAGGAGCACTGGCAGGGATGGAGAGCTGTGGGCTGGGAGTGAGGGGCACCAATAAATCGGGGCTGCTCAGCACCACAAAGCAGTGGGAGGGACAGCTGCAGCTGGACTTGCATCCTGGTGACTGAAGGGGGCAGCAGGAGCTCTGATCTTCTATGATTAAAAAAAACCCAAAATCAAACACCAAATAGATATTTAGGATTTATTTTGTTATAATGATTGAGATACTAGTAGGCTTCTAAATTGTTTTAAAATTATAAATATTGAATCTTTTAAACAGAGAAAACCATGATCTCTGGTTATAAGAGTTGTGAAGTACAAACACATCAGTTATCTTTAAACTTTGCTTCTGAGGATAAAAGTCAAAATTTGAAAGTCAGAACCAGAAACAAGTGAGAATAGCCCTGTCTGTTTGCATTGGAAAGACTGGAGCCACTTGCTGGTACAATTTCATACTGGTGTTGACATTTAGAAACTCTCAGTTATAGTCACAACATATATATGCTTTCTGTTCTGCTATCACCTCAGTATGGCTTATTTGCATTAGTTTTCAGTGCCATGAAATGAAATATTCACATGTCTTATCAAAACCAAAGTCCTACCCACTAACGGTTGCTGGGCTATATTAGCCAATTTTGTCTTCTGTTGATAAACATATGGGAAGTATGTGCTCTCTTTGACTCATTTTTCATAGATTGTGGTTTTCTGTGGCACAGAGCTTTTTCTGATTGTGGACCTAGTTTTCAAATAGGGGAATATGAAGTCCTGAAATTGAGAATTTGCTTTCTCAAATCTGGCTACTTCAGCTATGAAATAACTAGATGTATTTAGAAACAATGTATGCATTAAAATGAATGTTCTTTAGTCCTGGATTTGAGTGAAATGTTAATAACTTTTTAATACCTCTGGTTCAAATCTTGTTTTGTGGAACTGTCTTTTGTTTCTATTCAGATTGTTTATAAGGAAGTGGAGAAATCTGCAACTGTAGAAACACAGAAACTCTCTTTCCCACCGACCAGAGAACTGGCCAGCTCTCTCTTCAGTATACCAAGTAAATGTAAGCAAAAGTTGCATGTTATGGTGCTGGTGATTGTGTAAAATCTTTATATTTTTTAAGTCAATGTTATAAAACATATAACAGATAACATAAATACCAGGGTGGATTTGACTTGATTAAAGTAAATTGATTTAAATCACTGGCCGGGAAGCCTTGATTTAATTGTTTTCTACAAAATTGTATTCTTGATATCCTTTATTCATTTAACTTCTTGAAACTTTGTACTTTTAGAGAAAGGTAAAAGCTTGACTGTGTGTTCACAAACGTGCAGAGAAACGATAGGGCTGATGGGCGGCGGGTAATCTCAGTTAGGTCTGTTATCTCTTATCTCCATATACTTCTGTTAACAAGGATGTTTTCTGGAGACGACAAACTTTCCCTGTGCCCGAAGAAGGGTATTTGTGCCTGAAAGCTTGCAAAGAACAATTTTTGCAACTATTTAGTTGGTGTAATAAAAATATCACATCTACCTAAAGAACTTTGTCTGCCTATACGATTTCTGGAGAGACAAATCCAGTTGGACAACTGAAACTCAGCATCATAGAGATGCTTAATGGGATCTTCTAGACTGAGCGCTGAGTCCCATTGGCTAGAGTGACTTTCTTTAATATTTACTAATCTATAGAGGAGCCTCTGGGAACCCTATAAGATTGGGCCCCTAATATAGTCCATGGCCTGTTATGATCTATTTATAAAACTTCTAAAAAGGTTACATGAATATATTGTCTCAAATAGTATATAATAGGAAGTTCTAACTTTGAGCTTTAACACACCTTAAATTAAAACTATATGTAAGTTTATTTTTAAAGCATCTTAAAAAAATACAATTAAATCAAATCTGATTTAAATGAAATAATCTGATTTTTTTTTTTTTAATTGTTGATTTTTATCCACCCTGATAAATACTAAGTGCACTGTGCACTTTATAGTCATTACCTAGTTAACAGTCATGCAAGGCAAAGAAGTAATGAAGTTTTACCATATGGAATATTAGTTTACTCAGGGGTATCAAACTCACCTGGGGCTGCAGGTTTCGTTTCAGGCCAGATCCAGCACAGAGGTAGCAGTTGGAGGTTCCGCAGTGGGGAGGGATGTGGGGGTGATAGTGGTGAGGGATGTGGTGATGATAGTGAGTCAAGAGGTCGGGGGGTCTGCCAGTTACAGGAGGGGGTCTTCTGGCAATGGTGGGTCTGGGGAAGGGATCTGAGGGCAGTGGTGGTGAGCTTGGCTATGGCCAACAAGGTCAAAGATCCCCCAGTTATGGAATGATATCAAATGAAAAATATTATTCTCTTATTTGAGATTAGAATGCTTAGCTGGTACGATTTATGTATCAGTGCCTTGTCTGTATGAAATTGTTTGTTAAAGTGATCTTATTTCAAATTCTAGATGACATTTCCCAGGTGCCCATGTCTTTACAGTACATCAAACCGGTTGCTGATAGGGCAAATCCAAGAATTGGAATTGGAACACTGGCATTTAGTCCTGATAACTGTTTCCTGGCAACTAAAAATGGTTAGTTCCCAGAGGGCTATATTTTAGAGGGTAAATCTCTTTGGTTTTATCTAGGTCTTGTCATCTACCCTCTGAAGGTAATCTTGGAAGTAAATACCACAATTGTTAACTATTTGTATTATGGTAGCACCTCAAGGCTGGAGTCAGGACTGAGGCTGCATTGTGTTAATTAACACTGTACAAACACAAAAGAACTTCAGCCCATGAGTTTTCACATCATAAAATGATAGACCGAGGGATCAGCTATTAACTGCTGCCTTGGTGATACATGAACTCAAACACTTGGCCTTAATGCACCAGGTGATAACTGGCTATACCCCTTCATATTTAAATTATTGTACCATATACATAAATGTAGCAGATACTGGGTAAAACACCAATCTCCCCTGGCTTCGTTTGTAATGAATATCTCCTTGTATATAGGTATTCTGCAGTTTTAAAAACACTGGCTTTTTTATTGTTTATTTATTTAAATACAGAGATGATGGCTTGAACATATAGCTCTTTCCATTGGCAATACTGAAGTTCCTATATATGACTATATAAATTTGTGGCCCTAAGAGGAGTTGGGGGGCTCTTAGACTCATTAAAGTTTACCTCAACTGATGGAGAAAAATTCTTATGGAATCAGCTGAGGGAGAAGCTTTTAATCCAGTTACTAGCTGAGAAATGTCCATGTGACAGAAACCACCAATAATAGCACTGTAAGTAGTTTTAGAAAAGACAATTAAGGACAAGAATATAAACTGAACTACTCTTTTGTTGTAGTTGCAGTTCCCCTTAATGGCAGATTAAGGCCTATTTGGAGAGTAAGCTTGTACTCCTGGTATACCTCTGCTATAAATGATGTGCGCAGGGGGCTTTCAATCTACAGTTTTGGCACCTCTTATCATTACTTAAGGGCTGATCAGCAAGGCAGGTTGTAAGGTTGTTAATCAGTCCTGCTAATCATACAGAGTTTTATGCACTGTGCACCATGCTGCCAGTGGTGTAAATGGTAATACAGATCAGGAATTTCAATGAAAACGTGTAATGTCAGGTATTGAAATGACACTGCATATTGCATTTCTTTTCTTACGGTATTGGCACTGTTTCCATTTTGGTAGATAATACTCCTAATGCCATCTGGATCTGGGACATTCAGAAGCTTAAGTTGTTCGTAGTCTTGGAGCAGTTGTGTACCGTTAACTCATTTCAGTGGGACCCACGCCAACCTCGACTTGCCATATGCACTGGAAATAGTAAAGTGTACCTGTGGTCCCCAGCAGGATGCGTGTCAGTGCAGGTACCAATGGAAGGTAAGGCAGCTTGAAATTACTGCTGCAACTACATGTAAAAAAAACCCCGAAAACAACCACCCAAAACTCATTTGTTAATGTGGTGATTTGGTCAAAACATTGTTACTGAAGTGATGGATTAAAAGTGTGTTTGGAACTTCTGAAAAGGTACATATTGCCTTTCCTTAAATAATACACTCTAAATGAAACTGGATAACCAGATAACAAGAAGAGCAAAATATAAGGTGATGATGTAGCCTATGATGGTTAAGTTACTGACATACCTAAACTGTACTTTAAAGGCCTTGCTTTTTATATGGGCTGGCTGCATATAGAAGCTGTAGCTATCCAGAATTTCAGATGCTGAAATTAGGACAGCTAAGCATCTAATGCATTTTTGGATACCTCAAATTAATTGATACTGAAAGTAGCTACAGAAGATATGGCAATATCTACACTAAAAAGCAGTTAAAGTTCCCATATATCCTTACCTCAACCCCAAATGGCTAGTTACAAGGTCTTTGAGAACATTTGCACTCAGTGATATGCTATGTTGTTAATTGCTTTAAGAAACCTTACTGTTTGTATGGGTCATTTTAAAAAGGTAACTACTTCAAATTTACTTCCATGAAAGTATTAGCAAATTAGCATAGGAAGTACCTTATATTAGCAAATTGTGGAGATTTGGAATTGATTGGTCTTTGTTAGACACCAGGGGCCAGGTCTTAATCCACGTGCTTGGTTCTGAAATATGACCCTATTTCATCCTGCTCAAGTTCCTGAAAATGTTTTAGTGTGCCTGAATTCTTTGCTCAGTTGCTTCTCTTCTGTGTGTGCAGGTGATTTCCAGGTCCTCTCTCTTTGCTGGCACTCTGGTGGGGACACAATGGCACTCTTGAGTAAGGATAACTTCTGTTTGTGCTACTTGGAAAGAGAGGAGGTAAAATAACTAAAGTAAAGGCTAGAAAAGCCATCTTGCAATTTAAACCTTTATGGAAAATGTGTTGCTGGACTGAGAGAGGAGTGAAGATGGGGCAGAACCTCAGTCTTCAAACTGAAGATATTTGAACTCATTAAAATCTTATTTGGGGGAGGGAAAGAAAACTCCCTTGTAAAATACTGTGATAGTTACTTGAATGACTTGTTCAAAATTAAATTGCAAAGTACTAGTGCAACTAAAACCGGTGGGAACATGGCATCAGGATATTTTAATGAAGTAATGGAGTAAAATATAATGAAAACTTCTAAGCTTCTTTTTGACTAGAAAAATACGTTGTGAAACTGTAGTTGTTTGTATATTGTGTATAGAAATTATTTAATTGTATATATCTCAATAAACATTTTGATAACTAAAATCAATCCAGCCTACTCTAAGTATAGATTTTTCCATTCTAGTGTTTTGAGTTGGAAGTGGAAATACATTTCACTGTTGTGCTCACATCTTGACTAGTAACACTGCACTGCAAAATGATATTGGTTAATGAATAACAATATCTCAAACAACCTTTCTGGCTCTTTTGCACAGAGTAATATACACGTTTTATGTAAGCAGTCGAGACATGAGAGAAAAGTGGTTTCTCTTGAAATTAAATAAGTGATAAGAAAAGGACTGTTAGATGCTGAATATGCTTATGGAATCGGTTACTCTAAGCCTGAGTGGAATGTTGTTCAGTATAACTTTACTTTGTGAATGTTCAGTAATCAAACCAGGTGTGATAACTAGCTTGCTTCTGTAGACTAAAACATCAGATTGGGCACAGTCTGAACTATTCTGTGGAGACTGATACTGCTCTCAATTAGAGCTGCCTTTTTCAAAAGCCACTCTTAAAACACATTACCTTATTCACTTGAGTTGATGAAACAATTACTAGGCTAATAGTGAAAGGACGAGTGATGTTCTCAGCTGTTGTAAGAAATGAATTTGAGAAATGAGGAATCAAATTGGATACAACTATTAGGAGGAAGGTCCAACAGTATCGTGTCTTGATAATGCCAGCATCATATGCATCAAATTACACACCTGGGCCTTGTTCTGTTTAATTGGCTAGTGAAATTTACATCTTTGTTTCAAGAGCCACTACACCTGTCACCAAAGAATAAATACAAAAACAACTGTTCTTAAATTAAAATTAAATTTACTGCCAAATTAACAAAAAGCTAGACCGGTATTTTAAAAATGAGCCCACAGTGACGAGAGACATACAGGTGCATTCCAGAATCCTTTTACACAAAATTTAATTAAAGAATGAACATACATCTGCTTTATTTCAAGGTAAAAAAACCAAACAAAAAAGCAAGAAAAAGTAAACCTGCCAATACCACTGCTGCACAGCATTTAATTAGCATGTTAGTGGCAGAAAAATGCTTCTGGTGATAAGATCATACATAGAGAAGCTTGTCATAGTCATCTCATTGCTGCTATTTGTCTCACTGTCTCTGTATTCTGCAGATGAAGTTACCCATTTCAGTAGTACTGCCCTACACAAATTTAAGTGGAAGATTTAAATAAATCCAGATTGAGGTACATTGTTATGACTAAAATTTCCCTGCCTCTCCAGCAGCTGTGGCCTTGCAAGTTGCAAATAAACCCTACTTTGACCTTGTCTAATAGGGCTGTGCAGAACAGCACCATTCTGTTTCAGCTTACATTTCGATGGGACACTTTCATTTTGAGTTCTGTTTTGTTTTGAAACTGCTGTTCTGTTCTGTTTCATTGAAACTCTTTTGATGCTGTTTTTGACGTTTTGCCCATAGGCTAAACAGGGAAGCACAAAACTGCCTATAATTTTATCATTTGCCTGATTCGGATTAAACTTGCAGCAACGATAGCCCCTTGAGGCCATGAAGCCTGCCAGCTTTCAAGGAGATAGGTGCAGGGGTTTCTGGGAAACTGTGCCTCAGGCTGCTGACAAGCAAAACTTGTGACATGGGTAACAGAGTGAGTGAGTGAGTGAGTGAGTGAGTGAGTGAGTGTGTGTGTGTGTGTGTGTGTGTTAAGGTGCACCCTCACTAGTACTGGGGCCTCTACACAACAAGGTAGCGTGCCCCAATGAGACTGCCTCCTCCCCTACAGCCTCAGTCTGGTCCACCACTTTAAATGACAACAGGTAAAAACTTAGTGAGCAGCACAGTACCCTCAGCAGCATCTCAGGCAGCCAAACTGTCACAGACTAGAGCTTTTCTTTCCTTTCCTGCAGTAACTTCTTCTCCAGCAGCTGCCAGAGAACTGCCTGCCAACCCCAGTCCTGGGGCTTAAATGTGCCCAGGGCCCTGCGTCCTTCCGGTCAGGTGCTAGGGGTTTTGGTCTAAGGGCATGACACTGGCAGACAAGGTCCTTTCCTTTGGGTCAATCTAATCTGGTATCTTTTAGGAGACGGACTGAATAGTTAGTTACAGAAATATATCTTAGCAAGCTTTTGGGTTGAAAAAACTTTTGTCAGGCTGAGGAAGCACCTGCAGTTGGTGTGTCTGTGTGCTGTTCCTGGATGGAAGGAATAGTAAATGAAAAAAGGAAATGGGTGCGGATGGAATGAGGAGGGTGGCATTCACTCTGTCTGCACCTGGAGCTTGGGGAACCCCAGCAGCGGGAGGTTCACCTTGAGGAACACCAGCTGCTCCACCAAACCAGGATCCAAGCAGGTGTGGTGGGGTGTCACTACATCCCCAGCAATGGTGAACACCCTCTCACTCGGAACACTGGTCGGTGGACAGGACAGGTGTTCGCGGGCAACTGTGGCCAGATCTGGCCACATCTGGCTGCGGCTTGCCCAGTAGGCCAGGGGGTCACACAGTAGTGGCTCCACATCCTCAGCAAGATAGGTAGCCACCAAGGCCTGAGTGCTACCTGCTTGATAGTAGGGTCTGGTGCCTCTGGACCCCACCATGGAAGCTATGCCCTTGGCCCACATTGGCAGCACCTGTGGTGGTGGAGGAGACTGGCTGGTGGATGGCATACTAGCATGGGACAGTGGGTCCCCCTCTTCCACGTCCCCCTGCCTCCGCTGTTCTGCCTCTCTGACTCTCTTCACCAGCACCTCCGTCCACTGATTCAGGTTTTGGCTGCTGCATACGCTGCCCTTCACCCTTGGGTCACACATGGCAGCCCGCACATGGACCCTACTGGGCTGCAAGGG